AGTTAATTTACATTGTTTTCGCAACTTGGTTATATTGGTAGGAAGACTTGGAGGAACGCACCTAATTCTGGGTCCATTGTATGTATGATAATTTCCAAAGTTGGACCGTAGAAGTGGTACATTCCCAGACTTTTTGCCTGCATCGTAGTCGGCATCGTCAGTGAGTCTTGCCATTCTTAGCACCATACAACAACTTGTCAAAGAGACAAGTGAAGCCGATCCTTTGACCACATGTGTGCTAAACGGTTGTGGTATCTCTCCTTCTTTCCTGTGTTATTCATCTTTCCTATATCCTCGTATCACGCTTTCACTATGACAATGTTTTCCTTGCTTATTTGGATCACACCCCTTCACCCTTGTGCTGGGAATGTCGATCAGAGTCTACCATATTGTTACACAGTCCTCCTTCCCTAGGTCCTATCAAACTCTCCCTCTTGCCCCGTAGGATCCGTCTGCTATCTCCTTGGTTCAAGTATTTCATTCGACCCCTACCACCCCATCTGGGCTACTCGAGGCGTTATTACTCATCCCCTGCGTCTGGGTGACAAATTCGAGGCTAAAGCCTCTAAGTAAGTCTCATGGTTAAGTCTTTGCTACATGGACCACGCCTATGGTAACACAGGCCTGCTGTCAGCCAACTAGCTCTAGTCTCAGCCTCGTCTATTATGTTTCTATCCCTAATACCAAATCTATGACTTTCTATGTCCTAGTCTCTTGTATGCCAACCCACAAACGTTGTGGTTCAACATTGAACCTAATCAAAGAAAACAGTACCATAACGTTTGTGGGTTGGCACACAAGAGACTAGGACATAGCATGAGGTGAATAGCCCACTACAGAAGGAAAGAAACCACAACTGTTTAGCACACATTTGTTAAAAGGATCGGCTTACTTGCCTCCTTGATGAGTTGTGTTATGGTGCTAAGAATAGCAAGACTCACTGACGATGCCGGCTACGATGCTGGGAATGTACCACGTCCACGGTTCGACTTCGGATATTATCAGGTATAGAATGGACTCCGGACTAGGTGCGTCCCTCTAGGTCTTCCTACCAATATCACTAAGTTCCTAAAACAAGATCAAACAATGCCTAAATTTTCAATTCTTTTCCGTTTAATTTTGAATATTTATTTTTACTTTGAAAAGATATTATACATTCTTGCACTTTTTATATAATTAGCTTTTGGGACGAACTGCGT